GACACGACGCAAACCTACCGTACCCTCTGAGGTTTAGGCCGACGACGAGCGCGCCCAGGGCGGGGAAACGTGGGGCGGACGACGACGGAGCACGCCAGGTGGGCATCCGCAGGCCACCGCGGCCGGTGGCCGCTGGCCCGGCCCCTGGCGTGAGCGGCTACTAGTGACGGTGAAGTCGGCCTCCCAGCGTTCTTCTGAGAATGGCTCAACCGACCCCCATCCCTCGACCTCCCAGCCCTCTCCTGAGAAGGGCTCAACCGATGCCGTTCCCAGCTGGCAAAACTGGCCCAACTGGCCGACTTCCGTCGGGTCCCCAGCGTTCTCCTGAAAACGTCTTAACCGATCCCCATTTCCCCCCTGTCATATCCTTGGCCCAAATGACCGACTGCCGTCGGCCCCACGACCTTCTCCTGAGAACGGCTTACGGTCGGACCCAGGACAGAAGAATACCCTTCAATAACACGAGACCCTCCAAGAACATTCGAGGGTACACTTACCCAGAATGCACAAGAACATCCAACAGGCACGAAAAACATCAGGGTACCCTCCCCGAACCAAATCCGATATTGTACCTCGATCCGACCGTAGCCAATCCCCATCCCCCCTGGCATGGCCTTGGCCCCACTGGCCGACTTCCACCCGATAGCAGTCTTACCTCTCACCTGCGCCTGCTCAGGGGGGGGGGAGAGGGCGAGTCTGGGGGCGCGCCAAGGGGGGCGTGCCCTCGGCAGGCAGGGGAAACTCCAAGGGCCGTGCAGGGAGCCGTGCTGGGGGACATGTCCAGGGGCGTACCCGGGTGCTTGTCTGGAGAGGTATACATTGAGAGTCGTGCCTGAGGGCGTCACGTGCCAGGGGGAGGTGCCGAGGGGACGTAATCATCTGGGGACCCACCAGTGCCACGCAACGTGTCCCAGGGCATGTCCAGGGATGTGCCTGGTGGCTGGCGGAGTGCCCAACTTTAACATTATAACGCACGAAAATCGGATGGGTCTCGAATCGCCACACATGATGCAAATGTACACACCAGGTGACTCCCGATGGCAGTTTCAAACGGTCTCAAGGGTCTCAAAGTGCCCCGAAACCCGTGAGCCGAGCACGTCCGCGAGTCCCACGCGGTCTCGAGGACTCTAGGTGTCACAAAACCCTCGGCGCCGAGCGCATCCGCACGTCTCGCGCGGCCCCGAGCTGCCACGAAATCTTCGGCTTCGAGCACATCCACGCCTCACACGGCTTCAAAAGTGTCAAGGGAAACCTCTGCTGCCGAGCCCAATCACGCGTCTCACACGGTCTCAAATTGGCACGGAACCATCGACACCGAACCCAGTCACGCGTCCCATAGGGTTGCACAAGGTCTCAAAGTGCTACGAAGCCTTTGGCGCAGAGCATGCCCACGCGTCTCACAGGATCCCAGAGCGCCACGCAACTTCCAGCGCCGAACACAACCGCACGTCTCAGATGGCCTCAAAGCGCCACTAAACCAAGCGAGGCGCGTCACGGCACAGCACGCCTGCAGCACATGCGTCGCGCTCTGTGTCCAAGAACAACGTTCCCCACACAGTGCTTGCACTTAGGGTGTTCTTACTTGCTTCCTCAGGTAATTGAGTTCCAGTGGCGGTCTGGCCAGCTTGTGGCCGCCCGTCGCCGCCTGTCGCCGCTGGTAATGAGCTCCAATGGCGGTTCGGCCAGCTTGCCCGTCGCCACCCGCCGCCGCCATGCATTGCGATCGCATTGCGCTGCATTGCTGTGCATCCCGTCGCCCCACGTCGCCGCCGTGCATTACAATATCATTGTTTGGCATTGGTTTGCACGACTTTGCATTGTTTTGCATTGCTTTTCGGCTCTGCACAGAATAGCTTGCACCACATGGATTGCGCAACGCATTGCACCAAGGTGATTGCAATACCTAAACTTCAAAAAAAAAGCTGTCTGGGTTCCACACTGACACTGGCCAACAGTTCTTCATCCGCCGATCCTTCGGCATGTATGAGACGCGATCGTCGTCGTCGTCGTCGTCGTCGTCGTCGTCGTCGTCGTCGTCGTCGGACGTCGGACCCAATCAAATTGAGGAACAAGAACCAAGAACGTCGTAGTTAGGTCGACTCCCTTCCTGTTATCCCTTCCCTGCCGGGGCGGGGAGAAGGAGTGTGAGGGGGGGGTGCGGGGGAGGCTCCTGGGTCAAAATGCCCCCCCCCCGGGATCCCGGCGGGTCCTAAGGGAGGGTCGCTAGCGAGGTTCCCACGAGAGGTCGCGCCTTGGGGGGGGGGAATCACGGGTCAAGATACTGCCCCGGCGGATCCTGGGGGGGTTGCCAGCGGGGGGGGGGCCGCCAGCGGGGGCCAAAGGGGGAGGTCCCGCCTGTGGTGGGCGGGATGAGAATACCGCCCGAGAATACCGCCCCCCCCCCTTGGGGTCCTGGCGGGTCCGGGATCGCCAGCGGGGGCCGCGGGGGGGGTCGCGCTGAGGATGGTCCCGGGTTTCGAATACCGTCCCCTGGATCTTGGCGGTTCCCGTAGGGGTCGCCAGCGGGAGTCCAGGGAGAGGTTCCGCCTGTGTGGGGGGGGGGTCCCGGGTTAGAATACCGCCCCCCCGGGGTCCTGGCGGGTCCCGAAGGAGGTCGCCAGCGGTGGTCCCGGGGGAGGTCCCGCCTTGAGGGTCGGCGGCACCGGCCGTAGGGCCTTCGCATCACAATTGTGACCCCATTCGCTGGCCAGGGGAACGCGCAAGCATGTCAAAACGCATGCTCGCAAACAAAAACAAGCAACAATGTAGGATTTGGGACGGCGAGTGCGGACAGCACCACTGGAACCCTGATGAAGATGCCGCAAGTAATGCGGGCCCGACGTAAGTGCGGAATCCATTTCAAAACATGTCTCCTCTGACTGTAGCAGCCCAGCTGCATCCTCTGGAATCCCCACGAGTCATGCCGTGGAGCTCCCTCATGTTGTATCCACGGAATGCGGACATGATGCTCAGAAGTTGTCTTGCCCTGATAGCAGCCAAGGAGCTGCCTGAGGGTCATGGTACTTCCCAGATGGTCGGATGTGTTCTAGGTCGACATGTACTTCAACGACCATAGCAGGAAATAGTTTCGGGAACTCCCCAAGCGGATCATTATGGAATGTCCGGGTTTTCCGCCTGACCATCTCAAGCCTGACAGCAGCACAAGCAGATCTTGCATACTCAGACACGTGTGCCTGCTCCTCTTGCCATTGACGCTGGTGCAGGAGAGACGAGGGTGCCAGGCGTGGATCCCGAAGGTACGAGCCACACTGTGATTTTCGCCTGGTGCAGTCTTCGCACTTGCTTTGCTCGGCAATTACTCCTCGGGCAAGTACATAGCTGACTGGCAATGCCCGCTGGTTATACCTGAGCCAATTGGCTCTCGCATCCCTCGAGATGCATCATCACGTGTCGTCGCGTCGTCGTTCGCCTTGCTCAACACCGTTTGTCGTTCTGCAGCTGCCGCTGCCTGTTTGCAACGTCAACGAGCGAGGTGCTCGATATGGAACTAGAATCCGTTCTTCCGAGGCGACGACCACGTGGTGATGTGGCAAACTCATTGCGCTCTCCCGCTCTCGCGCCGCCCCCAGAGGAGAAGCGGAGTATGAGGGGGAATCGGAGCCGAACTGCCAAGCGCGAAGCGCGAATAATTTCGGGGCCTCAAGGGCACCCTCGTTGAAATTCCCCCCCTATCCTTCTGTTCAGCCAAGCACCAGCCTGTAGAGCCGCTCTGGGGGCGCTTTTACAAAGCAAAGGTCACCCTCGCCTGCCCCTGGGCTTGGCTGCAATGCCTGCTGATGGCCCGGCTCGGGCAACGGAACGCATGCTCCTGCAACGCGATACCTTGCAATCAAAACCGCCCTCCCTCATCCCTCCAATACCTTCCCTCTCACAGTCTCCCCCTCGTACTCATACTCTCATCCCGCTTCATCTTCCTCTTCGGCTACATCCTAATCCCCCTTGAACCAGAGAACCCAATTGCCGATCCCCCCATGACCTCTAGCACTCTAAATAATTAGCTAATTCCGAAGAGGAGGGGAGGGGGACCAGAGCGATATCGCTGGCACCCCAAAAAGGTAAATAATTCCTGGGGGCGGGGCGGTGCCTTCAAGACTGCTCCAAGACGGCCCACGAGGCTCCCAAGACGGCCCCGGAGCGGCCCAAGAGCGCCCCCCAGACGGCCCAAGTGCTGCCCAAGGCGGACCAAGAGGCCCCAAGACGGGCCCAAGAGGGGCTCAAGAAGGGAACCGAGAACTGAAAAATCGAGCCCTCCGCCCCAGAAGGCGCCCAGGACCCCGAAAGAGGCCCCAAGAGACTCTCCAAGACACCCCCAAGACGCCCCAATAAGCTCCCGTGAGGCCCCAAGAGGACCAACAACGTCAGGCCCCAGGCCCCAAGAGGACCAACAAATACCGCCAAGAGCCCGCCGAAAGCCCCCCAAGAGACCGTCACGAGAGCTCAGGAGGCCCCCTGGAGGCCTCCCGAGTTCTCCAAGAGGCCTAAAAAGAGGCGCCAAGAGGCCCCAAACGGCCCCACCGAGGCTCCAAGAGGCCACGAACGCGCAAGCAAACGCCTGCGATGGCACAATACGGGCCGGCGGAATGAGCGAAGCGATTAACTAATTCCTGGGAGCGGGGCGGTGGGAATGCGCTGAGTAAGACAGCCCAATACAATCGGAATACCCTTGGGACATTACCATGTTCATGTTACAACCCTCTTGGGTCGTTTTAGAATCCGACTGGGGCTCTTGTTGGAATCCTCCGTATGAAGACCTTGGTAGGATCCCGCTCTGAGGGGCCTGTGAGCGGGATATGACTTCCAAGGGCGAGAAGCGCTAGTTTCGTCGAAAAGGGGTGGATCATGAATTGCTTCCTCCTGTTGCCCCTCGTACACCTTCCTCCTCCTCCTCCTCCTCCTCGAGGGGCGTCCCGTCAGCTGGGGGAGCGGGCGGCCTGAACGCCGACAGCGGCCCCCGGTCCGCCAGTTCGAGCAGCTGCCTGTCACCCTCCGCCTCGCTGGTCCTGCGGACCGACGCTCGCCCGGCCTAGATCCAGAGTCCAGCGCCCGCCCCCCCCCCCACCCTCTCCTCCTCCTCCTGCTCCTCCTCCTCCTGCTCCTGCTCCTGCTCCTTCTCCTCCTGCTCCTCCTCCTCCTCCGCCTCCTCCTCCTCCTCCCCGTGCCGAGGGCTGCCCGAATTCTTTGGGGCTCAATTCTTGTGAAGGACGCACGGGGCGCCGGTAAGAAAGTGCGACTCTTGCACTATCGGCGAGCACCCTCACAAGCCACAGCAGGGGCGACACCAGCCATCCTCCCTGCATCCTGCCTCCACCGTTGCTTCCCCATCATTCTCGGCCACTCGGCTTCCCCGGTGCCCTTCTTTTCTACCAGCTCATCCTGCTACCCCTCCTCTCGGCTGTTACGCTGGTCTTGGGCCTACCAGACCTACCCTGGCGGGTACCCCCCGCGGGCCGAAACTGCCACATTCCCCAGCGGTATTGAATTGCCACAAGTTCTAGAATACCCCGCGGGCCGAAATTGCTACAATCCCCCGCGGGTGGAATTGATACAATCCCCCAGGGGCCGAAATTGCTTCGTTCCCCCTTTCAGGGATATCCCGCAGCCTCTGGAGTCATGAACTCCCCCTCGCAGCGTGTTACGCCCAATGGGCTAATGGGGTGAGCAGCAGATCCTACGTGACCAACTCGAGATCCACCAATTACTTTACGAGTATGGTTCGCTTGCCCCTTCTTGTCCTCGTCGCTGCCTGCCTCCGCCGTCTGTTGCCCCGTCCTACCTTGCCATTTCGCTACCCGATCTTCTGTGCCTTCCCAGCCCATCCTGCTACCCCGCACTAGCACTAGCCCCAATACCTACAGGTCGCTTCCGGGGTCGGGCCAGAGATATTCTACCCCCCCCGGCAGAGCTACCAAATTGGATCGACTCTCTCCGTTTTCTCGCGGTTGCGGAGAATGCCGTCGAAACTTTGCGGGGGATTCTTCCCCTTGTAAAAATTATCCCGGCAAAGCAACCTAACAGCGATGTGTAGAAGCATATATGGAAGCATTCCCCTTAAGATTCAAATGAGAATCCAGTTGTAGAGTTCTGCTGTTCTCGCAGTCGCAGTCGCATTCGCGATGACAGTCGCAGTGGCAGCGGCAGTCGCAGTCACAGCCTCAGCCTGCCTCAGTATCAGCCTGCCTCAGCCTCAGCCTCAGCCTGCCTCAGCCTCAGCCTCAGCCTGCTTCAGCATCAGCCTCAGTCTGCCTTCAGCCTCAGCCTCTGTGCCTCAACCTGCCTCAGCATCAGCCTGCATCCGCCTCAGCCTCAGCCTCAGCCTCAGCCTGCCTCAGCATCAGCCTGCCTCAGCGTCTGCCTCAGCCTGCCTCAGCCTCAGTCTGCCTTCAGCCTCAGCCTCAGCCTCAGCCTGCCTCAGCATCAGCCTGCCTCAGCCTCAGCCTCAGCAGCCTGCCTCAGCCTCAGCCTGCCTCAGCGTCTGCCTCAGCCTGCCTTCAGCCTCGGCCTCAGCCTCAGCCTGCCTCAGCCTCATCAGCCTCAGCCTGCCTGCCTCAGCCTCAGCCTCAGCATCAGCATCACCATTCTCAGCCTCTGCATCAGCATCAAAATGCGGCCCGGGAATGGAGTTCTGGGAACTCGAAGAGCACGAAGTGGCCTACAGTTGGCTCCGGGCATTCAAAATGTGGCCCGGGAATGGAGTTCTGGGAACTCGAAGAGCACGAAGTGGCCTACAGTTGGCTCCGGGCATTCAAAATGTGGCCCGGGAATGGAGTTCTGGGAACTCGAAGAGCACGAAGTGGCCTACAGTTGGCTCCGGGCATCCAAAATGTGGCCCGGGAATGGAATTCTGGGAACTCGAAGAGCACGAAGTGTGTGACTGTTGCATCCGGCCCTCCAGAATGTGGCCCGGGAATGGCGTTCTGGGATCTCGAAGAGCACGAAGTGTGTGACTGTTGCATCCGGTTATTCAGAATGAGCCTGGGAATGGAGTTCTGGGAACTCGAAGAGCACGAAGTGTGTGACTGTTGGTGAAAAACGAGCGGGGCCCCCTGCCGCCCGGCAACTCCCAACGCCTGCCCGGACCCCCCTGTGGAGTGATCTGTGAGCTCTTTTTACCCCACTAGAAACCTATCAGTCTTCGCTGTTAGGTAATAAGGGACGCACGGGGCGCTGGTATGAGAGTGCGACCCTTGCACTCTAGACGAGGGCCCTCAAGCCCCAAAAGGATAGGGAGCTGGGGCGGCACCAGCTATCCTTCCTGCATCCTGCCTGCATCGTTGCTTCCCCACCGCTCTTGGCCACTTTGCTACCATGGCGCCCCTGTTCTCTCCCAGCTCACCTCGCTACCACTTTCAGCTGATACGATGGTCTCGGCGTTTTCAACTCGTCTTCCCTCTCCTCGGCCGTATTCGCGGCGTCTTCAACTTGTCTTCCGTCTTCCCTTCCTTTTCAACTTGTCTTCCCTCTCCTCGGCGTTTTCAACTTGCCTTCCCATGGTCCGCCGTATTCTTCTGGCCCGCCCGCGGTGCTCCCCCTTGTCGTGATCTCGCGTCACGTGCCCGCGCTCGCCACGCCGCTCTGCCGCGAGTGCCAAGAGCCGCTGCCATAAATCTGCACTGCCCCGCACCGTCTCCATGACATGTTAAGCCTGCCTCTGGTCTTCCCCGCAACTCGCCTCGGAGTTCGACGCTGTGCGCCAACTCAGCGGAATTGCTTGCAGAAGTCGGACGCCGCCACACAACGTCCCCACTGTGGGGCAAGCTATCGTGTCCCAGCCGCGTGGCCGATTGACTGCCCTCGCAAGTGTATCCGTCCCAAGAGGATTCATTGAAATTGTGCGCACACATGGCGCTCTTGAGCTTGCCGTCCCCCCTCTCAGAGGGAGCAATGGAGAGCTCTTCCATCATTATGCCGCGTCGTCTTCTTGCTGCCTCTCCCTTTGCTCGCTCCCCTTGCTTCCCCCTCCATTTGGATCTCTCTCTCTCCCCCCTGTCTCTTCCCTACCCCAACAAGAACTAGTGCCCGCAGTTCCCCCCCGTCTTCATCCTCTTCCTGCTGCCGCTCTCCACCCATTGCCTCGTGGCTTAAGGGTTGGACGCTAGCCCATGCTGCGCTCAGAGCTGGCGATCAGGCAGACTCGGGTGCGGCGCCCGAGCGCCTAGACTCAGCAAACCCAGCACGATCTGATATACGAAGTCTCTCTCTCTCTCTGCCTCGCTCTCTCCCTCCGGTCACTCAAGAGTCCACCTCTCGGATCCATGTCTGTAGAAGACTTACCGAGCACTTCCATCATCCACGCCGTGCCGCGAACATCGGAACAGCACAGGGCGCCGCCCACGTCCGGTCGGTTGTTGTGATCGAAAAGACCTTGCGTGCCGAACGTGGGACTCGAGGTGCGTTTGCAGGTGTTATCGGTGGCTCCATCTTATCCTCCTCACTTCCTGCATCCGCCGTTCGCTGCCCCGTCCTCCTTGTTCTTTCTGTCCGCTCCTTCTTCTTTGCTTCTCTGTTTCGCATCGCCTGCCCTTGCTGCCACTATTGTTGCCATACCTGTCTTGAGCATCTGGCTATCCCGTGATCCCGAGTTGACCCAACTCCTCCCAATAGCTGTGATGCTCTCTGGCCAGTAGCGGCCCCAAAAGCCAGATCATGATTTAGGCATTCGTTGTGAAATGTCGAAGGCATCGATGGCTTGAGAACCCTTCGTTGTACATCAGACTCCAGTCTCTCAGACAATTGCAATGCTATGATATCATACCATACGAATGCGCCTCTCATCTCTCCCTCTCCCCTGACTCTGTCCCAGGGTATTGGGCCTTCTCCGCGTAGTGTTTTCTCACAGACCAAATTTCAAAAGGTGATGTTTCCTATGTTATTGCGCTCCGATTGTTTTCGGTGTTTCCAAAACGGTATCGGCGCTGTGGTTCCATCGTTCAGACTGGAGCTCTCGCTCCAGTGTGGGTCACTGTTTTGGATCCAACAGGTCTCGCAAGTCCCACAGGTCTCACAGGTCTCGCAGGTCCCAAAGGTCCCACAGGTGTTGCAAGATCCACAAATGTCCCAGGTCGTCCCACTGGTTCCACAGGTCTGACACGGGTTCCACAGGTGTCGCATGTATCACTGGTCCCACAGAGTTCCCCCAAGTCACACAGATCCCGCAGGTCCCGCTGATGTCACAGGTCCCACAGGTCTCGCTGGTCTCACAGGTCCCACAAATCCCAACAGGTCCCACAGGTGTCGCAGGTCTCACAGGTCCCAGAGGTCCCACAGGGCCGACAGGTCCCGCAGGTCTCACAGGTCCCACAAGTCCCACAGGTGTCGCATGTCTCACAAGTCCCACAGAGGTCCCCCAGGTCCCATAGGTCCCGCCATTGCCACAAGTCCCACAGGTCTCGCAGGTCTCACAGGTCCCACAGGTCCCACAGGTCCCACAGGTCCCACAAGTCCCACGGGTCCCAAAGGTCCCACAGTTGTCGCAGGTGTCGCAGGTCTCGCAGGCCCCACAGGCCACAGGGATTCTCGAGGTCGCACAGATCCCACAAGTTACAGAGGTCCCACTGGTCCACAGTTCCCACCTGCCCCACAGGTCCCACAGGTCTGACACAGCTTCCACAGGTGTCGCATGTCTGACTGGTCCCACCGAAGTCCCCGAGGTCCCACAAGTCCCAAAGTCCCGCCGGTGTCACAGGTCCCACAGGTCTCGCCGTTCTCACAGGTCCCACAGGCCCCACAGGTCCCGCAAGCCCCACAAGAGTCGCAGGTCTCACTGGCCCCACAGGCTACAGAGGCTCCCGAGGTCGCACAGGTCCTGCAAGTCACACAGCAAGTCCCACACCTCCCACAGGCCACAGAAATCCCACAGGTCCCACAGATCGCACAAGTCACACAGTTCCCACCTGGTCCGCAGGTCCCACAAGTCACCTTTGCTGCTATCCGCCACCATGCCTCCGGGCACGGAATGGGCATGTCCTGAGGTCCTGCGCCTAACCCGGGCCCCAAACTTCGAAACCTCCTGGGGCTTCCCGCGTGCCCACTGGGCTCCGAGAAGTGTTCTCGCATGGCATTTTCCGGCCCAAGAGGGCCCCAGGCGGCCTCCAACAGCGTATCCGCACATTCCTGGGCGAGGTGAGGCCATCGAATCCCTATCGAAAACCAGTGAGCGATTGGGGGTCGATGCATCCCCCCTGATCGGCGGCGTCCCCGGGGGGGAAGTGAGAAGGGGCGGGCCTTCCCAGAAGGCTCGGAAGTCCCCGGCCTTCTGAGACGTTTTCTGAGGCTTCCCCGAGAACGCAGAAACCTATCTGACTGCCAGAGGGCTTCTGAGAAGCCTCGCGGCCTTCTGAGAAGGCCTTCTCCTTCTCAATTCCCCCCCACGCTCGCCGCCGACCGAAGCCTATCCCCCCACATATCGTTGCCCCCGATGTGGTCCTCGACAGCGATACGGCGATCGCCCCGGTGGCGCCCAGCTCCCGCAGTCTCAGGGGACCCCCCGCTCGCGAGCTGGCGCGCAGGGCGCCCATGACCTCCTCGCGGGCGGGGCGGGCGGAGGGTGTGGATCCGACTCCTCGGGAAGGAGGGGGGGAGGAGCGGGGAGGGAGGAGGGACCGACTCCTCGGGAAGGAGGAAGGGAAGCAGGAGGCAGGAGTGTGTCCGACTCCTCGGGAAGGAGGGGGGGAGGAGCGGGGAGGACGGAAGCAGGGCCAGAGCAAGCCAGAACACGTTGCCACTGCTGCAAAACACCTTCCCATTCCACCACAACCCCATGTAAGCCAGCACGCGCTGCCGATGCTGCGCAAAGCCCTTCCCGTCCCGACACTCCCCAAAGTCCCAAAGTAAGCCAACGCGCGCCAGACGGGAAAATGACGGTCACATAGGCATGCCATTGATTCAGGCCCTGACGGGCTGGACCGGTAACATCCCAACTGCTCCGCCAGAGATTTGGGCTTTGAGCAAGTGACAGCAAGAGCAGCGGCGCAACTGAACTACAAAAGCATACATTCCCACAACGCTCCTGTAGATGTGCCCTGAGCTACCAGGGCGTGAGTACGAGGGACGAGGTTCATGAGCAAGGGGAAGGCAGACGCAGCAAAGAAATCAGAAGGCGCGAGAACCACCCCAGCTGCCAAGACCTGCGCCGTCACGGCCGCGACACGGATACGTATTAGCTCAGGGCAAGTGGCGCTCTGAACTACCGAGGGCCCCAGCTACACGAACGCGGCGAAGAGCCCAAAGAATCAGCGCACAGCGCCACTCGAAAGCTTGCAATTGCAATGAATTATCTTTCCAGCGACGCAGGCCAGCCCGCTACGATTGGCGCCACAGCCCTGAGCGGCGAACAGACGCCGCGCCTGGTCAACGCAGAGACCTAGATGGCTCGCGTCGAAACTTGGCGATGAGACGAGGTGGCTGTCGAGTTGCATGTAGCGTGAAATTGAATATCAAGCTGTTGATGGTTTGTACAGAACCATCCCAACTCCTCTGGTTGCCATGGGCCCTTCTAAGTCACCCGTCTCTTATGACTCGTCTAGCTCTTCCAACTCTTCAATTGCGCGCGCGGCACGTCGCACATGGTGATCGCGGCACGAGGACCAGTACAGCGGCGCACGACCAACGGCACGCGCGGCGCGGCGAATTGCACCAGAGCCCACGACCAACGGCATGCATGGCACGGCGAACGGCACGCTCGGCGCACGATCAACGACACTGCGAACGGCAACGGGGCGCACGACCATCAGAATCGCGAGACCGAGGCCGAACTGAGCGTCACGTCGACGCACTGGACAACCCAGAAACAACACAGGAGCAACCGCGGCACAACTCGGGACTCCCTCGGCGGGCACGTATCTGGAGAAAAGTTGAGATACCCCATGTTGGGGCAAAATCTTGATCGCCTTCGCGCAACTCCGCCTCGCCCACACGCACGGCACGAACCGACATCCATCGGTGACGGGAACTCCATCTCACGTTGGACTCCCCCTCAGTATCCAAGTATACCAGCCACTCTGAAGCAGTAGCGTGATAAGTTCATGCGTGGAGGAAATGAGCTCTGAGAAAGCGCAGGCGAAGGACTCATTTCGGAAACGACCTGATCTGAACCGTTCACTGTTGAAGCTCCCATATATCATATAATACATTGAATAAAATGTGACGACAAGCCCAAGGCTAACTACCGACACGCCTGGTGGTGCGAACAGAAAAAAACATGTCCATGGAAGCCGGACGGAAACGGAAAAGGGAGGGGAGAGGGAGAGGGCGGAGGGGGGGGGGTCCGATTGGGGAGGCGGGGAAAGACAGGGAGGTGGAGGGGAGAGGGGAGGGGGAAGTGAGGCGGAAACACGACGAGGTGCGTGCAGGAAGCATGGCGTGGCCTACCATGCCCTCAAGAAGGCCAGGAAACGACGCATATGAACCACACCAAGCGCTCCCTCCCTTCCTCGTTCCTCCCTCCAGCAACATGAGAGGCACGATAGGGGGGGACTGGCTCGGGGGGGGCGGGGGGGGACACATCGACCTTGAATCGACGATACATCGCCGATAGATCGGCGATGGGCCCCGGATAGCGAATCTGTACGTCCCTGGGCGGGGTGAGCTCTTGGGCCTCTATCGGCGATGAATGGGCCACTGGGGGTCGATGCGTCCCCCCCCAGTGAGAGACTGTCCCCCCCGAACGTTGCCCCTGACATCATGGATGCAAGAAGAGAAGCCTCTGGGGACACCAGCGCCGTGCCCCGTGCTCGGTTCACCAAGCAGAACACATCCGTCGCGAGCAGCATGCCGAGGCCGCTGCCGCTGCGTCTCTCGAGGGCCGCCTGGCGGGGGAGGCGCACGGATGGGCCCTTTCTCGACAGGCTCCTCCCCGTCCTCCCTGGGCTCGTCCTCTCTGGAGGGATGTCGCCGAAACATAAAGACATCAAGCCCCGCACCCAAGGCTATCTGGTGATCTGGCGATGTGACTCTTTCTTTCCTAGCTCATGGGGGCCGAATCAGACAAGAAAGAACTGACCTCGCAAGACTATTGCAATCAAGCCACGCCTCTCAACTGCCTACGGGGCTGTTCACCGAGGAGGTTAAACATACGAAGCCGACCAACGCTGCCAGAAAGATGCGGCCCGCTCTCGGCAAAGTGCCGCCCTGATCCCGCCTGCGAGCTCTCCCCCAACGCACTGTGTTCCCTGCCCAAGCGCCGCGGGCAAAAAACATGTTCGTACCCGCGGCCTCGCGAGCCAGGCCCCCGTGCCGCGACCCCGCGGGTAGGGGGCGTGTTTTCGCGGACGTCCGGCGTGGAGCAAAGCCGTGCGACCGAATATTGGGCGTCACTTCGTGGGAGGGGAGGGGGGAAACGAGCACCTGTCGGGCCCGCCAGGGTACAAAAAAAAGAACCTTCCTTCGCCCCCACCCCAAAGACCGCCCTCCATTACGCAACGTCCGAGCGTATGCGCGGGATCGCGCCCTGAATCTAGGCCGACAGGGCGCGGATACGGATATGTTCCCGGCACGTGACGGTAACCGGCTCCCCGCTTGTTGCCCCGCCGTACTCCTGCGTGTCCCGCGAGCCCGCCACGGGCCCTTTCGGTTGTCCTGCGCGCCCGCCGCGGCCCCCCTGGGGCAGTTCTGTGGGTGCCTCGTGTAAAGGCGGTTGTCGTGTGCGGCCGTCCCGCGGCTGCCCTGGCGCCCAGGCTCGAGATCGTACGTCCGCATATTGTTGGCAGGGACGCACAGGTATAACGCCGCAGCGCTGACGCTATCGACAGTCGTCCCCGCCCTGATACACGCATAACGCTACCGTTCCTTAGTTTCCCCAGCGCGGAATGTTAGCCAGCGTGGACCCCAAATCGTGTATCTTCTTGGTGCCAGCGCCACGGACGCCTTGAACGAGAGGGTACCCTGGCGGGACCTTTCGAATTCAGCCGACGTGAACCACTGGTGGGGATATTTTTTTCGGTCGCGTCCGCAAGCGAAGGCGCAAGCGCAGTCAGAAGCGCTACGGGTCACGACAGCGGCCTAATTAGCAGCTAGACGCGCCGCAAGCCGGCCGGCCCACTCATACAGCCGCGGCTGACTGCGCGGGAGAAGCTGCAAGCAGGGGGCGTCCAGGGTGCTCGAGCACTTGCAACAAGGCAAAATGCTGGTGAATTCAAGAGGTGCCGAGTGGCAAACCCGAAGGAGCATGAGAACGATAGCTGCGGGCGGCGCGTCCAACATGCCGTCGGAGTGTCCAGACGTGGTAAGCGATGGGCCGTCGCCAGTGGGGCGCCGGGCCAAGCCCAAGCCGCGCCAACGGCGTGTGCGAGCCAGCTGAGCTGCTCCGCCGAAGAACGTCGAATGCCAAGCCGGGGGTGGGACGGGCCCGGGGGGCGGCCGAGGCTGCGAAGGCTGAACCACTCGAAGCGGGCTGACCTCCAGGGGCCGTCAACCCGCGCAACATGAGGAGACACCGATCCTGCAGGAGGCCATCCACGCACGGCTGCGCGGGCGCCGGCTGAAACGCTGCGCGAGGCCAAGCTGGCGGGGAAGAACATCGCCAGCAAGGTGGGGCGCCCAGGGTGGAACTGCACGGCAGCAGACGCTTGATGTACGCCAAGGGCCACCGTGGGACGGCCTTATCCGCCGAATCCGCCATTCCCCGCAGGGATCCAGGGTCTCCGTCGAATCCGCCATTCCACGCGGGCGTCCAGGGTCGCAGCTAACCGCCGCTGAAGGTGAGGTAACGTTACCGCTGTCAGCGGGGGTCCTGGGCAGCCCTGGGGCGTGGGGACGAAAGCCTCCGAGACCAGGATACAAACCTGGCGGCAACCCAGCCTGGGGGAAACCCGGAGGGTGGGGCGGCGGGGGCAAACATCACCAACCCCCCGCGCGGAGGGGCTCCCAAAGGGCGTCCGGCGAGGGCGGGGCGCAAGGAAACGACCACCTCGAAGTCCAAGGGCAGGGGGCGTGGCCTGAGCCCGGCCCGAGAGGGGCCGAGGAGAGAGGCGGTGGGGACAGACATCACCGCACCTCGCACGGATCCCAGGTGCACCTGGCCAGGGGGCACGGCCGCCATCTCCCGAGGGGCATCCAGGGTCGCAGCTAACCGCCGCTGAGGAAGGTAGTACTGAACGGTCGGTCTTTCGTCCAATGCTGGCGTGGTCCAGGGTGGGCAGTCTGCAGCCAGTGGACTGACTCGCTGAAGGCTGGGCTGCCACCGCGGAGGCGGGCGCCTGTGAGGACGGCGTGTGTTGGTTCATCCAGGGTCGCAGCTAACCGCCGCTGGTGTTCTGGCGCCTGCGGTGCGGCAAAACTGAGCCTTAGCTAGGTCGAGCCAGCGGCCAGGCAGGAGGGGGGGATGCTGGGGCCCGCATCCCGCCCAGGCTCCGCGCGGCAGGCTGTCGTCATCGGACAGCAAAGTCTGGGTGCCTGGGGGTTCTGCCGGCGTGAGCCAGGCGGGCCCCGCAGGGCCAGTGAGGGTGAGATGTCGGGTGCGTGTGGGGGATGCCCCAGCGGCGGGTTGCTTCACATCACCAATTTGGCCCCTGCTGACTTTTTTCAAAATAATTTCTTGGGATGAAACGCTGCCGCTGGATATATCGAGCACAGTTGATCACAACGCAAACGCTCCTGCGAGCCCCCGCCAAAATGGCAAGAAATGGTAAGCTCAGATCCGCATGGCTACATTGCAACCGAACCGCTTGACCACCATCTCGACCGAACTGGCGGAATTCGACCACGCGTCCGACAAAATGCGTTCGACGAGGGATGCGCTGCACAATGCCCCAGCCACGGGCAGCGCTACGAGGGAAAGCGGGCCCTTCGAGGTGTCACTTTCAGCGCCCGTGAAAGTGACACCTCCAAGGGCCCACTTAAAGAGCACCAGAAAGGCTCCAAGAAGGCCCCGAGAAGGCCCCAGGGCGGCACCAAGAGGGCTCCCAGAGGGACCCAAGAGAGGCTCCAAGAGGGGCCCAAGAGGGCCCTCCGCGGTGTCACTTTCAACGCCCGTGAAAATGACACCTCCCAGGGCCCACTTAGGGCCTCAGAAAAGCTTTAAGAAGGCCCCGAAAGGGCCACAGAGAGCCGCCCTGGGTTCAACTCCGCGTGGCGGAGTTGGAAACGATAACTTCAATACCCTACTGGAGGCCTCTTAGGGGCCCTAAGACGGCACTGAAGAACCCCATGGGGGCTTTTTCAAAGGCAGAGGAGGGCGCAAAAAGGGGCCTCAGTGAGCCCCTGGTCTAACTCCACCTGGCGGAATTGGAAGCGATATCGCCCGGCGCCTTCATGGAGCCGCTCGGAGCTTCCAAGACGGCTCCAGAAGGCCCCAGGAGGGCCCCAAGAGGATCGAACGACGATTCCTGGAAGTGCACCAGTGAGACCCTTGTTGACCTCCGCCTGGCGGAGTTGGAAGCGACAATTTCCAGTGCCCTCTTGGGGCCTCTGGGGGGCCCCTCAGAAAGCTTTGGGGAGCACAGTGAAGGCCTTCGCAGGGCCGCGTGAGAGCCGTACCAGGGCCGCATGTGTGCGCGGATGGGGGCGACGAGTGCTGACGCTGACGAATATGAGAATGATGAGGGCGATCAAGGCTGGCCCGAAACAAATCCTGGCGCCATTGCAGGCCGCCGATTATCGGCCACGCCGCCAGGACGACGCCAAGCAACAAAACGACACCAACCAACAAAACGACACCAACCAACAAACCAACAAATCGACACCGACCAACAAAAGGACACCAAGCAACAAAACGACACCAAGCAACAAAACGACACCAACCAACGAAACGACACCAACCAACAAAACGGCACGAATCAACAAAACGGCACTGACCAACCAAACGACAAATCACTTCACGACACCAATGAACAACGCGAAATCCACCGACCGCCAACCAAACATAAAATCAACCGACACAACGAAACCAACCCATAGAGCCAGACCAACCACTGGATTCGTGAGTCGGGGTAGTCATGGAACTGAGCCGCTGCAGCCCGCGGAAGCCATTAACAGTGACCAGAGCACCGCAATGCAGCAGCGTCCCCGGGCGGCGGCGGGAGTCTCGGATCTCCCGCGGGACTGGAGCGTAGCGAGTTCGTCCTGGGTCCGGTTTAGTGAAGTGAAGAATTTCGGGGTGCTTGGCATGGCAAAAACCTTCACTTCACTAATCTGGGGCCCCTGGAGCCCCAGGGCGTTTCAGGTCCCCTCGCTGTCTGGGTAGTCCAGGGGGCGCAGTGGCGGCTTACCAGAGGCCCTGTTCCCTAGCCTCACTTGCTTTCACCCGTGGTGCTCGACGGCCGTCTCGGAGCTGTCTTGTGGCGGTCTGGGGCAATCCCGAAGCCTCTTGGAGCCATCCCAAAGCCCCAAGGCGCCACCAAGGGGGCCCCAAGAGAGCTCCCAGAGGGTCCCGAAAGGCCTACAACAGATTGCACGTTCGCGCGAATTCTTTGTTCCATTTTGGGGGGTCCCTCTTGGGGCCCTCGGGGAACGTTCTTGGGGCCCTCCGGGGGCCCACTGGGGCCCCGGGAAGGCCCCAAAAACGCCCCCAGAGGGCCCCAAGAATGCTCCAAGGGGGCCCCAAGAGGACCCCCACAAATGACAAAAACTACTTGCATGAGGGTGCAACTTATTCGGCGCCTCTTGGGGCGCTCTTGGAGCCGTGCTGGGCGCCACTCGTGGACGACATGGGCTGGGCGACGGCATGTGGACCCTGTCGCTTGGGCCATCGGGGGTGCTCCCCAATGGGGCCACGAAACGTGTGAGCGTATGACGGAATGGGCTGGGCGGCGGCCTGTGGGCCCTGCCTGTGGGGCCGTCGGTGCAGCTCCCCGTGGGGCCACGAAACGTGTGAAACGTATGCCGAAATATGCTGGGCGGCGGCCTGGAAAACCTGCCGCTCGGACCTTTTTTTGGTGGAACTGCCTATGGGGGCACGAAATGTTTGAGGGTGTGTCAATGTGGCCTGGGCGACGGCATGTGGACCCTGCCGCCGGGACCTCCGATGAGCTCCTCATGGGGACACGAAGCGTCTGAGGGGCGTGCCGACATGGGCTGGGCGACGCTGTAAGGACCCTGCCAATGGGGCCTTCGGTGGAGCACCTCACAAGGCCACGAGACTTGCGGGGGATGTGGCGAAGCAGAGACGCGGGGGAACAAGGGGGGGGGGTGATAATGTTGATGAGGATGGTGGTGGTATTGATGATGGAGACGACGAGAATGCCGTTGATGCTGATGATGGTGGTGATGGCGACGATGACGATGGACGATGACGACGGGGACACGCGGAGAGCAGGGGCGGATACGCGAAGAGGGAGGACGAGGGAGGAGGCCGGAAGGAATGACGCGGGGCGGTGTCTCTTCAAAACGAAGAACCAACACTGCAATATGGTAGGAAATTTCTGGACGACCCCCCGCCCCCGTGGCGCGGTCCATATCCGCGACAGCATCGCTGGCACTACGAACGAAATGTTGAAACTCTTCCTGCGACGTGACCCGCGGGGTGGATATGCCAGGGATGGGGGTCGAAACCGCCCCAGCGCAAAGCAAATGTACAATCCTGAGAAACCCCAACCCACATCAACCGATCCGCAACAAGCACGCGAGCCTTTGACGACCCCAACGCACGTGACTTCGCATAACGCGACGCGCCATCGAAAACGTTCGACGCGCGGCCTCGGAATGACATCGGGCTTCATGGAACGTCGAATGGGAAACATGAAAAACCGCCCTGTGGGCTCCGAGACCCAAAATTAGTGATGTGAAGGATTTCGGGTCTCGGACGTGGGTGAAATGTGGGGGTGAGCCTTCGCCCCAGCGGAGGGCGGCCCCGGGCATTGCGGCCTGAGCCGGGCGCGGCGAGGTGAAACAGGCCCCTTCAGGGCCACGGGTAGCTGGAGGTGGGGGGGCCATGGGTCCTCTCTGGGCTGATGCCTGTACCTGGGTGTTGGTACGCTGAGGTACGCCGTGGCGGGAGCACGTCAACCTTGGGTGTTGGAGTCGCTCTTGGCCCACCAGCGGGCACGCTTTTCGGAGTCGCGGTCGTCCCCTCGTGGAGAGTATCGTTTGCCCCTGCCTTTCCAGTCGGAGTCCGTCCATGGGGTGTCACGCCGCTCCCACGAGGGCCTTTTCTTGCCAGCCCCGCCAGTGGCTGGGGGTGGCAGTTCCAATGGCTCCTGCCCAGGGGTCCTGTGCCGCTGCACGCGCAACCGTTCGGTTCTCGGCAGTCCAGGGGGATGGCGTGTCGCGGCTGCCGTGTACGCGTGGGGCGCGTGCGGGAGCGTCGTGTCGCACGGGAAAATTCATGTGCCTGCGCCGAACTTCGACCCAGTCTACGCAGAGTCTGAGCTCGCGACCCATCCGACATGCGTGGCCCATGCTTCCAGGAAATCCGCGCACGTCGTGGGTGTGTTGAGCTTGGGGGTGCTCTTATAGCCTCCCTTGAGGTCCTGACTCTGGGCAGCCCGCTTAACCCCCGCGTGCCAGATAGCGTTGAAAGTGCCTCCCAATGTCTTTTGCAGGCGTGTGATTTTGTCCTGGATGGGTTCGTCCTTTTCCACGTTTGCGGCTGCTATAGTGCATCTGTACATGGGGCCGCCGCCCTTGGGGTCGTTAAGGCCCTCGTAGTGTGGCTGGGCACCCCTACTGTCCTTCCAGGGCTCCCTGCGAGCCTCCGTGCGCATGTGGTTCCCCCTTGGGGACTTGGCGGCGCGTCTTCTCCCGTCTCCGGCGTCTTCAGAGGCAGGGCGGTCGCGTCCTTGGTCCCATGGGGTGGAGTTGGGCGTGCGGTCCACCCTGGCTCCCGCGCGATCCCAAGACGATGCGCTGTCCCTTCCAGTGCCGTCTTTGGCACGCCGGAGCTCCAGGGCTGCAACTTGGTCGACGGTCTGTGAATAAGGCGTCCAGGGTTTGCTGCTTGGAGGTGCTCCCGTGAATGCTCCTAGGGGGTCGAAGGGGTCTGCTTCCTCGTCCTCGTCGGCGACAGGGTCTGGGCTCGCGCTCGGGCTCGTTTCCTTGGTTGTGGCTGCTGCGGCTCTTGGGTCATCCCCCCAGTCAGGCGCATCGTGCTCGCCCTCGGTCTTGCATGCCTGCCCGCACCTGCCCTGCACGTCCGTTGGCCGGTCCTTGGACCTTCGTTGCCGGGAGCCTCGCACTCCATCCTGGGGGTGTGGCCCAGTAGTGCCTCCTGTTCCAGAAACCGGCTGTCTGGGTGGGGGGCGTTTGCTGCATCGCTGGGTCTGTCCAGCCAGCATGCTGCAGCAGGGATCGCTGCGGCTGCGGCCTCCATGGCGGTCTGCACTGGGTCCAGCTGCGCCAGTGAGTTGATGGTACCGTCTGCGAGGGTCGTGGTTTCCATGTCCACGAGGTATTGCAGTAGGGTGCTGAGCCTGTGGCGGAGGGGGCAGAGGCCTCGCTGCTCATCCAGGGGCAGCGTCAAGAATTCAGAATGTGTTCATGCGACCATCGGTCGCCAACCCCTCGAGGCAGCCCAACCCCAGCCCCGACCATTCATTCGACACAGCTGGCCAAGTCTGCCCCAGAGACTATGGCTCCACCATCTCCCTCACTAGAGGCATAGCGAGGAGAACAAGAAGGCGGCAGAGGTGGAGGGCCAAGGTCAGGGTGAGGACGAGGAAGAAACGAGACCAAGCTACGCTGCATCACTCTGCCAAACAAGAGCGAACAAACATGCGGGAGATCGAGCACACATCCGACTAGCGATGCCCCGTGCCAATGGAAGGTGCTTCAGCGTAAGGTCACGTGATTCAGCGATGTTCCAGCCCACGTGAAAATACCACGCACACACACAAACGACTGGACCGATCCTGTCCTGGTCAACAGAGGTCCAGGTCTGAGGTGTGTGCTTTGCGACACCAAACGACAGATTGCTGAATTATGATGCCCAAGCATAGAGGCATAGACGATCAAGAGATACATGGGGCGGAGGACGAACGAGAGTTGAGGGTTGAGGGAGGAGGGAAGTGGAATAGAAGGAAAACGAGGAGCTCGCCTTGCACACGCGGTCCACATCCGCTTGCACGTCGGCCTTGCAGTCGCCGCCCTTCGCCAATGACTTCCCATCGAAATTGACGAGACCAAAATCCTTCGGCAAGGCTATGACGGCTACAACTCGAACACAGCTGCCACACTGGCATTGGCACGTGCCTTGTCAATGTCATGGCACGCAAACATCATGTGCACCACTGTAATCCAAGATCACCGTCATCGTCGTCCCAGAAAACAAGCCTGCGTATTGGCGTCACTGGTTTGGATTTAGCGTATCCGTCACCGACCCTGTAACACGTCAGATCTTGCTGGAAACGACCCCCGCGCTGAATGCCTGGACAACAGAATCCCCTCCCCCTACACTTCCTGACTGGCGCTCTTCTATACCCGGGACGGACCTAAGACGCCTGGCACCGCTCAAAAATGGCTGCAGTGTGGACAGAGACCAGCTCTTAGTGGCCGAATGATCCCCTAGAGGTCCCAAGAGATCACCAATGGGCCACAAGCGACAGCAAGAAGCCCCAACGAGGCTTCCCAGAAGCCTATCAACAACGCCCTGGACGCCAAACAAATCTAAACAACTACATGTGTTCAAACGTTGATTGCTGAACATTGTTTCAGGAAAGCTCCACAGGTTTCCATGACGGCTGCCCAACAGAGCCGAGGAAACCACAAACACTGCCCAAGATTGCCCTAGACCTCCCTGAACAGACCCCCAAGAAGCACCCAGAAGCCCCCGAAGAGGTTCCGACGAGGCCTCCAATATGTCCAAGATGTCCACGAGAAGCCAAGCAGCATCCATGCGACGTTACAACCACGGTTTGTTGCATCAGTGTTACGCTGCATACCACATTGTCACAAGATGGTTCTACCGAGCCTGATCGGGAGAGCTCGGTAAACCCTCCTGCGTACATGTCATTGATGCGATGTCACAGTAGAGGGAATTGCTGCAAGCTTCTGGGTACACGTATGCCTCTATGTGCCCACGACGGGCCAATGCTGGAGTTACGACGACAAAGAGCGCTGCGATGATGCAGTCAGAACGCATGATAAGGATGCGCGGTAAGGATGTGAGGGCCTTGGAAGGCCATGTTGATGTTTTCCGAACGGGGTTGGCCAGCGAAAAACCTTGGAAAGCTGCTCATCCTCACTATACTGGACGCTTGGTAAAGTATTGTATTTCAACATGTCCGCTTTGCCTTGGCATTAGTATTGCAACCTCCGTGCTATATGCTTCCACAAGAGCTTAGTCCCTCGGGCCAGCCCCGCCCAACAATTTACGCACTACGAGCCTGTGCCGCCAATGCATGTTGATCTAGGCGCTAGCAGTCCCAGGCAACACTCCGAAGGCAGCATGCTTTGTAGATCCGCAATCATCAATCCAACTGAATGCCCTATCGCCATCGCTCGGACGTCCACTCCCCGTAAAGTTTCCGGTGCTATTTTCAGCGCGCTGATCCAGGATGCTCCTCGATGATCCACGCCAAAACGAAATGCACACGTCCGAGCGATGTCAAGCCACGTAACTATTAAGCACCAGTGGAGCACAGTGCACGTGACATCGCGCAGCGAGCACCAGGACTTTGTTGAATGGCCAGCTCTGTCGTGAAACTCTTGGGAAGGAAATGGGGTGTAGACATGTGTGTTCGGATGTGTGAAGACATGGGTCTAGCGCCTATTGCCTACAGCCTCCTACACGATTCTGACAGTTATTGTTTGATCCTGATCCTCACCACATGTAGCTCATTGCACAGCTCATTATTCACATGAGGTGGCGCTCAAATTCGAACGACTATTTCCGAAGCCCTGAGGCATCGCATTTGAGGGTTAACGAAAATGCCCTGTACCCCCAACTCCGCTGTGGGAATCAGATGAGTCATGCACGGGTGTAAAGATGGGTGTTCGGATATTGGATGGGTGAAACATGGGTGCGCAAATGAAGCACACAATGTTCGTTTACAAATTAGAAGTTGTGTTTGCAATTGCAGTGTTTGGGAGGCGGGCGGCATGGACGGGGCAAGGGGAACATAATGGGCAAAACGGAGCTGCGGGGAGAGGACGCAACCATGGCGACGACGAGGAGGAGCAGCAGTAACAAGATGGGGGATGGGCCAGAATACAGACGAATGCGATGACGATGGCGAGGAGGGCGATGGTAATGATGACGAAAAGGATGACCGAGAACCGAGGGACAAGGAGGCGTGAGGAACAGAAAGGACGGAGGAGGAAGATGAGCGAAGGAGGGATAAAGAAGGGATGAGGATGATGAGGGAGAGGGATGATGGGGAGAGATCGACTGGGGATGGAGGACGAGGGAGCCAGGAGTGGGGCGGAGCGGAACCCTCTGCGGAATGCGAGTGCCACCTACACGACTTGATGAGAATTCGAGCGCTTCGCTGTGTAAGAGGAGGCGCCAGAGAAGCAGGAGGAGGTCGAGGAGGAGGCATCGGAGAAGGCAATGTGTTGGGGCGTCGCCCGCATGCGTGAACACGGCCGTGTTCACTGCCAGCCCGCCGTGAACACGGCCGTGTGCAGGGTGATTCCCCGGAAAATCGTATGAAACATCAATGTTTTCGGCGTCGCCCGTATGCGTGAACACGGGCGTGTTCACGGCCAACATACCGTGACCACGGCCGTGCTCACGTCCAACTCGCCGGGAACCCGGCCGCGTTCACGGTGATTTGTTTGAAAACCACATATCAAGTCAATGTTCTGCACGCGTCGCCCGCATGCGTGTGAATGCAGCCGCGTTCACAGACAACCTGCCGTAAACAAAGCCGCATTCACGGCCAACCTACTGTGAACACGGTCATGTTCACGGCCAGCCTTCCGTGAACACGGCCGTGTTCACGGTTTTGTCCTTCGAACAACACACGAAATAGATGCTTGCGCGCGTCGCCCGTACGCGTGAACACAGGCGAATTCACGACCAACCCACTGCGAACACAGCCGTATTGACGGCCAACCCGCCGTGCACACAACCGTGTTCACGGCAAGCCCGCCGTGGACACGGCCGTGTTCACGGCGATGTCTTTCAAGAACCAGTGAACATCAATGTTCTTCGGTGTCGCCCGCATGCGTGAACACGGCCGTGTTCACGGCCACGCCGCCGTGAACACTACCTTTTTCACTGCTAGCGCGCCGTGCACACGGCCGTTCACGGTTGTTCTGGATTGGCGGCGGGGGCAACTGCGTTTTTGTCTTCGCACCAGAAGTGTCTCCGGGCGGGGGGTGCGTCTCCTTCCCCGCCCCAGAAATACATCCGAACTGGAGCCCGTTTGTTCTTTCGGGCCGGTCACGCGCGTGACGGGGGTGTTTTTCGTTGCGCCTGTCACGCCACGGCGGGGGTGCGCCTGTGGTGCCGCAACATGCCCATAAGCACCGCAGTGCGCCTGTGAAAAACAATCGCCTGCGACTCGACAATCACGACGTGCCTGTGACCAGCGCCACAAAATTACAAAAGCTTGCGATCCGATCAACGCGACGTGCCAGTAAACACCAGTGTTGTTGAATAGCACACCGTCCGTGAATACCACAGCGCCCGTGAACATCAAAGCGCCTGTGAACACAGCGCGCGCGAACACCAGCCACAGCGCTTGTGAACACCACAACGCCTGTGAACACAGCGCGCGCGAGCACCGCAGAGCCTCGGGTCCAACGGCAGTGCGCAAACACTAGCAGTACCTGTTACCAGTAGTAGTCCAAGTACTAGTACTAGTAGTAGGAGTAGTAGTAGTAGTAGTAGTAGTAGTAGAAGTAGTAGTAGTAGTAGTAGTAGTAGTAGTAGTAGTAGTAGTTGTAGTTGTAGTTGTAATTGTAGTTGTAGTAGTAGTTGTAGTAGTTGTAGTACTAGTGGTAGCAGTAGTAGGAGGAGGAGTACCAGTAGGGAATTACACATAGTAGTAGGAGGAGTAGTAGTAGAAGAAGAAGAAGCAGTAGTAATAATAGTAGTAGTGGTAGCAGTAGTAGTAGTAGTAGTAGTAGTAGTAGTAGTAGTAGTAGTAGTAATTCGCCGGCCCAACGGGCCAGGGCGTGCTAAGATCTCCGGTAACAGGTAAACCATATTTCTAGTTCGCGCGCGCAGGGCGGCCCCTGGGGGTCCCCGAGCGAAAAGTACCCCGGGCGATCCCCGGCAGATCCCCGGCAGACTAGGGGTCAGAGATGCCGGAATTCTGTGTCGGAGCCCAAGAGGGCTCCAGATCGCCCCAAGAGGGCCCCAAGAGGCCCAAAACATGGTCCAAGAGGGGCCCCAGACGCCCGAAGATCGCTCCACGACGCCCAAGATGGCCTCCAGACGGCCCAAGAGGCCTCCAAGATGGCCCAAGAAGCATCTAAGAGGCCTCCAAAAAGGGCCCCAAGAAGCAAAAATCGTTGATTTTCCATTGGTTTTTGAAGGTTTTTGGCGTTCTCGTATTTTCAGCTTCCGACGCTCCAAGACGCCCGAAGAGGCCCCCAAGACCGCCCCAACACCGCCCCAAGACGGCCCGAGAGGTCTCCAAGAGGGCCCCCAAACGGCCCAAGATGGCCCCAAGACTGCCCAAGAGGCCTCCAAGACGGCCCAATACACCTCCAAGACGGCTCCAAGAGAGGGCACAGACGGGGGACCCGAACGGGCGTTTCGACATCTTTGCCCGAAGAGGCCCCTAGGAGGCCCCAAGAGGCCCCCAAGAGGCCCCAGGAGGCCCCAAAAACACCTCCAACAGGCCCCCGAGAGGCCTCCCAAGAGACCCCACGAAGCCTCCCAAAGAGGCGTCTTGTCCACGACCAGGGTTGGCCCCAAAAATACTCCAAGAAGCCATCGAGAGACCGCCTCCTCGTCCTCATCCTCCCCTCTTCATCCTCCTCCTCCTCCCCCTCCTCAACTTCTTCTCGCTCGCCACGAACTCACAAACATATAGCACCAGCGATACAATGTGGGCCGGCGGAATGAGCGAAGCGATTACATATGAATCTAATCGTGGTAATACTCGTAGTAGTCGTAGTAGTAATATTAGCAGTAGTAGTAATAGTAGTAATAGTAGTAGTAGTTGTAGTAGTAGTAGTAGTAGTAGTAGTACTGGTACTAGTACTAGTAGTAGTAGTAGTAGTAGTAGTAGT